CGCACAGCAAAGTCTGGCAAGCTACCGGTGATGTATTCAATATGCCAAACACAGCAACTAGTGCCACAATGGAGACCTTACTGGGCCCACTCAAGCAAAATAGATGAACAACGGGAGGACAAGTGACAGTTAAACCTATTTGTTACTATGTATTATTTATTTAAGTTATACACTAAATTGATTTTAAATTCATTCTTCATGCTGATATCACAAGAAATAAGCAACTCAGATACATCAGTTTGCTATGAAATATGCTATATATACCACACATTTAAATATATACATTTAAATTAATATATATAAAATATATACATTTAAATTAATATATATCAAATATATTAGCACAGCGGGTAGGGTGTCTGCCTTGCACGCAGCCAACATGGCCGACCCGAGTTCGATTCCTCCGCCCCTCTCGGAGAGCCCGGCAAGCTACCGAGGGTATTCGATATGCCAGACACAGTAACAACAAAGTCTCCAATGGAGACGTTACTGGGCCCGCTCGAGCAAATCGATGATCAACGGGAGGGCCTTTACTTTACTTACTTACTTCATCAATTTATATTCATTTGATAAAATAAAATATGTATGTACCACTAAAATGTCCTTGAGTATCTCTACAGTCAAATATAGCATAATGCTAAGCACTTGGTATGAAGTAAGGTTATAGAACCTGTAATAGGATCTGCAATAGAATCTTCTCTTGCAAACTTCTGCAAAATTTAGAATCTACAATGCTACATCTTAGGAGTGTATCTCCTTATGAATACTATAGTTGCAACTTATTTGAAAAATTTTTGGGAGCAAAATTACAAAAGAGCTATAATTTACAATGATAACTTAGAATTTTCCAACTTTATACTTGTGTCAAATTGATACACTTTCTATAGTAGCAATATTTTGAATTCGATCTGTTGGTTTAGCTGTAGAAGTATGATACTCTCTCAGGTATGATATTTTCTCAGTAGCAAAGAACTGAAGCTCCCAGACATAAGGTTAAACAATTGATATTCTACACTGTACTACCACTAATATATTCAATTTATGATATTTTCAACGTATCAGAGGTTTATCAGGACATAGACCCATCATAAATCTTGGAAGATTTTCATACTCCTAAATACACTCTTTTTTTTTTTTTTTTTTTTTTGCCTTTTTTGGGATCACAACCAGCGATGCACAGGGGTTACTCCTGGCTCATGTACTCAGGAATTACCCTAATGGTGTTCAGGGGATCATATGGGATGCTGGGAATGGAACCCTGATAGGCTGCCTGCAAGGCAAATGCCCTACCCGCTGTGCTATTGTTCCAGCCCCACTCCTAAATGGACTCTTAAATGTGTTAAGAATGGGATTACCAAGGAGAAATAAAAACTTTCTAAATTGTTATGCTTTTGTTTAAAGACTACTTTCCACCTCCATTTAAAAATGATTTCTACTGACCTCTGTCTAATTCCACGCACAAAAGTCATATCAAAGTTGATTAAAGACCTCAGTATCAGACCTGAATCCATAAGGTACATGGAGGAAGATGTCGGAAGAACCCTCCATGACATTGACGCTAAAAGCATCTTTAAGGAGGAAACACCACTGATTAAGCAAGTGGAAACAAACATAAACAAATGGCACTACATTAAACTAAGAAGCTTCTGCACCTCAAAAGAAACAGTGACCAAAATACACGAAATGGGAAAGAATATTTACTCAATACCCATCTGATAAGGGATTAACATCCACGATATACAAGACACTAGTAGAATTGCAAGAAAATAACCTCCAACTCGATCAAGAAATGGGAAGAATAAATGAACAGAAGCTTCCTCAAAAAAAAAAAAAGAGAGAGAAATACAAATGGCCAAAGACACATGAAAAAATGCTCTACATCGCTAATCATTAGGGAGATGCAAATTAAAACAACAATGATATATCATCTCACACCACAGAGACTGGCACATATCAAAATGAACAAGAACAATCAGTGCTAGTGCAGAGGTGGGAAGAAAGGGGTTCTCATTGTTGGTGAGAATGCCTACCAATCCAGTCTTTTTGGAAACCAATATGGGCATTCTATAAAAACTAGAAATTGAGCTTCCATATGACCCTGCAATACCATTTCTAGGAATATATCCTGAGGGTGCAAAAAAGCACAGTAGAAATGACATCTGCGCCTATATGTCCATTGCAGCACTGTTCACGGTAGTCAGAATCTGGACACAACCTGAGTGCCTGAGAACAGATGACTGGCTAAAGAAACTTTGGTGGTACATCTCCGCAATGGAATGCTATGCAGCTGCTAGGAAAGATGAAGTCATGAAATTTGCTTATAAATGGATGGTCATACAAGTATAATGCTAAATGAAATGAATCAGAAACAGAGCAATAGACACAGAATGACTGCACCCATTTGTGGAATGTAAAGTATCGTAATATGAGACTAATACCCAAGAACAGTAGAGACAGGACCAGGAATATTGCTCCATGGTTGGCAGCCTCTCTCATGAGCTGGGGGAGACGGCAACAGGGATAGAGAAGGGATCATTAATTCAATGATGGTTGGAGGGAATGCTCAGGATGGGAGTAGTGTGCTAAAAGTAGATAAAGGACCAAACATGATGGCTTGTCATTATCTGTATTGCAAACCATAATGCCTGTTAAGTAGAGAAAAAGAGTAAGAGGGAAACTGTCTGCCATAGAGGCAGGGTGAACAGTGGGACGTGGGTGTGGGGTGGCATGGGGGTGGTGGGAGGGATACTGAGAACATTGGTGGTAGAAAATGTGCATTGATGGAGGGATGGGTGTTGGATTATTGTATGACTGAAACTCAAACATGAAAGCTTTGTAAGTGTTGCTCACAGTGACTCAATAAAAAAAATTAAAATGGCTTTCAGCACTATTGTAATTGCAAGTACAAGCAATTATTTAATACTTAAAACTTTCTTTGTCATCTTTTCCCCTGCATATTTGTTTTTATGACTATGGAGGGGTGGCCATCTTCTCACGGGAGCTCCAAAAATTTTTGGAAAAAAAACAAGATGAAGAATACACAATGAGGGTTGGAGAGATAGACCAGAGGGTAAGATGCTTACCTTACAGACAGCCAACAGAAATTCAATCACCAGCACACCATATGGTCCTGCAAACCCACCAGTTGTGATACCTGTGCACAGAGCCAGGATTAAGTCCTGAGAACAACAGGATGTGGCCTAACCCATCAACCCCCCAAATAAAAAGAATACACAGTGACATACCAAGTCTGTATTTTCAGTCCATGTTCTCTCCACACTTGTTGACTATTTAGTGAAGGTGGTAGATAGCATGGTTGTCAAAGGTGCCATTGTCCTAATTCCCAGAACTGGAGACAATGTTATGTTATTTGGCAAAGGGGAATTAAGCTTGCAGTTGTAGTTAGTAGGTTATCAGTTAACTTTGAAACATGGTGTCTAAACTATATTATCCAAGTAGACAACCGTCTAATTATAAAGTTCTTAGAACTAGAAGGGGGAGGCGGAAGCGATGGTTTCACTTTTAGGTGTGAGTGCTCAGCTCCCCATTACTGTGAATGATGCAAACTAGGACTCAAAGAAGGTAGACCACTTCCAGAAGGTGGGAAAGGCTAGACAAGGCATTTTCCTCAGCGTTTCTAACAGGAAGGCTGCCTTGAAAGTCCTTAGTTCAGTAAGGTTCACTTTAGACTACTGACCTCCAAACCGTTAGATAATAAATTTATGCTGTTTTTAGCTAATGTCTGCAGTTGCATATTACTACAAGATTAGAAACGGAACAGAATCCAGCTTTGTATTTTCCCTAGTTTCTTGCTCTCTGTACCCTTAAATTTGGCATATCTATTTTTACAAAGGCACACTGAACTAATTAAGGTAAATTTGGAATTCTTTTCTCTTATTATAATACTGAATTCCTTAATTTGCACATTATCTTGTTACAAAAGATTATTATGTTAATGTGTAGTTAATGCGCTCTTAAAAATTTAATTTTATGCTTTTTAATCATAAGAAACAGAAGTGGGTTTATGCAGTCACTCTTGGTTTGAAAAGGTGGTATGCCCAGGGTTCTGGATTCAGATTAAGCGTTTCTATTTACTAGCTGTGGTTTGGGAAAATGTATCGTTCTAAAGCTGTGTTTCATCATCTGTAAAACAGGATTAAGAGGATAGAACCTATACAATATAGGTTTGTGGAAAGGCCTCATTGAGATAATCTATGGAAGTCCTAGGTATGGCGCCCAGCATATGATTAAGTGCACCACATAATGGTATTAGCTATTATTACTATCCTTGCACTATATTTGCAATTTCCAAATCCTTAAGAAAAAAAAAGAAAAGAATTACAGCTTTCAAAACCCTTGATGTGCTTTGGGAGACCTGCACATTAAATAGTGTCTCCTGTCTTTTGCAATCTTAATTTCTAAAGAACCAGCAAGCAACCTTTCTGATAATAGCATCTCTCGGAACAGGAACAATACTTAACCCCAGCGTTAACAATTCCTTTCAATGATCAAATATTCATTCACAAAGTAATTGTTAAAAAATAAATAAATAGTGGAGCAGTGGTGAGGGGTGGGGGTTGGGGGGCATAAGACAACGAACGGCCTACCACGGATCCTAATTAAGCTATTCCAATTTCCCTAAGGCGGGGCGGTGTGAATTCTTTTGCCCTGCAGCTAGCGAAGTCCCCTCGCGCACCACCGCCTTTTAAAGGAGGGAGCGGCGGGGTCCCCGGCCGGCGCGCGGGGGTTTCTTCCCGGTGCCAGGTGAGCCCGGGAGGAGAGCAGGTACAGGCGATCGCCGCGCGAGCCGGGCTGCAGGTGGTGCCCAGGGCTCGGCTCGGGGCTGCCCGGCGCCCGCTGGGGCCTCCCTCCGGTGCGCACCCGGGGATCCCCGGCCAGGGCACGCGGGGGGCCGGATAGGCGCAACTTCCCCGGCCTCATCGGCTCTCTCCCCGCCCCGCGGCGTCTCCCCCCCGGCGCCCCGGCCCTGTCTCGCTTCCCCGGGGCTCCGGAAGGGAAGGAGGCGTGTCCGGAGCCGGCGGGAGGGAGCTATATAAAAGTGCTGGCGGCGCGCCGGCCCGGGCTTCACTCGCCGCCTCGCGCCAGGGACCGGGAGAGCCGCGGGCTGCACCAGCCGTGGGACAGGGCGCTGCGCTCGGGCTACCCAATGCGTGGACTATCCGCAGCCGCTGCTCGTGCAATATGCTGGAGCTCCAGAGCAGCTAAACGGAGTCGCCTCACCGCTGCCTGGGCTGGATCACAGCGCTGCCTTTCCTTATGAAGAAGACACAAGTGAGTAGGACGGTGCTTCCTGGAGCTCTCCAAGAAAAATGGGGGGAAAAAAAAAAGCATCGCGCTCAGCGCCCGGGGGAAAACCGGAGCGTGTCGGATCCCCGGTTGCCCAGGCATGCGGGGCCGTGCCCGTCAGTCCGACGAGCCCGGAGGGGGTGCGGGGGTGGACCCCGGGCGCGGCGTGCCAGATCCGAGCAGGAGAAAACTAGAGCGGGAGGAGGGAGGGGAGGGAGCCGGTGTCAAGTTTGGAAGCGCCGCCGCCAAGTTTGGCGCTGTCAGCGGCTCCCGGGAGATGCCGCGATCGGGGCCCGGGGCGGACAGTTGTGAGAACTGCGTGGCGGCCGGGCGCGTCGGCGTCCCCGAGACGCGTCCCGGGCCCGGTCCGCGAAGCCACCCCCCAAAGCAGCCCGCGCGCCCCGCTCGCTCCCGCTGTGACACTCGTGGGCAGCCCGCGGGTGGACCGGCGGGCTCCGGTGCAGCGGCGGGAACGCAGCCAAGCCCGAGCTGCCTTAGAAGAGGCCGCGCTCGGCTTGGCGGAGCGGAGAACCTGCTCGGCCCGCCTGGGAAACTTGGCTTCCCGCGCCGGTGGCCGGTTTTACAGCTCCGGGGAAGCTTCCAGAGCTCGAGATACGATTCCTGCACTGTGCATCCACCTTTTTGCATTACTGCAGGGGAAAAGTTGTTTTTTTTTTTTTCCTTTCTTAAATGGGCACCTCTAATGATAGTTATTGAGATAATTCCCAGCACTCCTAAATTGTGCATTATACGTAACCACATTGGGGAAAGCACCGCCCAGGGGTACAATTAGATCCCCCCCCTCTCCTGAAGCTAGCATTTGGATCCTCGGTTTAAAGGAGTCTCGCTACCATGCCCCACGCAGTTCGCCCCGCGTTTCTTACCTCGCCTTACATCTCCCCCTAAAATTTTTTCCCCTGTGCATCTAGGACGGGTTGAGTAAAACTGCCCTTTCAACCCCCCACTTCTTTTCCCTCCCCGCTCCAGGTTCCCAGGGAAGATTGCGATTCCTGACTATAAGGAATGCTAACGGTGGCCTGGGGGTGCGGAGGAAGTTGGAGGGCGCGCGGGGTGGGGGTGGGGGTGGGGGGAGGCTGCACCAATTGTCAGTTTAGAGGGAACCAGTCAGTGCAAGGGAAGACTTTATAAAACGACATGTGCGTTGTGATGTGTTAAAATAGAGGCATAGACCCGGGGAATGGAGCTATTCAGAAAGCAGTAGGAATAATCGAGTCCATTGCATGGATGGGGAAAGGGGGTCGGGTCGCAGAAGGACCTTGGCTGGCAGTAGGGTTTGCGGAGTTTCTAGCGCAGCCACCGAAACCCAAAGGAACGAGTTTAGATCTCTCTTTGCAAGCAGGTTAGTTTATAGCAGAGCATGGAACCCCACACCTGGGTTCCCCCTGTGTGCGGTTGGCATGCAAATGTTGAAGATTCTGGCACCAGTAGAAAAGTTTTCATGGAATGACTTGCTTTGGAAGAGCTTTCACTGTGTGAAATATTAATAAGCAGAGGCTGCTGCAGGCATTCCGTTTTACAGGAGCATCTGCTTCCTTGAATGGGAGCAGTGGGATCTGGGCGGAGAAACCCCTACCTTTTAGTGGAGAAAAAGAGCCCAAACCTTCCTATTTAAACAAGAGCAGGAGACAGTTCAGGTTAATGTCCAACACTCCAAAGGGGGCGATGTACTATCAAGTCACTGAGAGTCACTAGGATTGATGATCCTTGCACCTTTACTTTGCAAAACAAATGTGAGCTCTGTAATCTCCTTTCTCACTTTGATAAAATGGCTGTGTAAATCGGATTACATGGAATAATTCCATTGAAAACTAGAAAGAGGTCGATGGAGTCGAAGGCGTTAGTGACTCAATGGTGCCGACTACAGACATTTGAGACCGCTAAGTATTTTAGAAATGTGACCTGCTCCCACCAAGTTAAAGTGCAGGCCCTTTGGGGGAACTGCCTGATGTTTAAGGGCTTGCAGGGAAAGAGGGCAGCGCCCTAGTTGAATGAAGGCATTCATTGCCTGGGATCTAATGACCTTCAAGGTTTCCTTTAAGGATACTTCTAACAGTTCACATTCCTACCGCTGAGAAAGGGGACACTGGAAATAGTACAACATCAGTTAAATAATCTGTGGAAATGGGGGAGGGGGGTTACATCCTCTTCCATATTGTTAAAGTTTCTAAGGGCAAAAGTTACAAAGAAATTGTGTGTGTGTGACAGCTTGTCCATGGAATAAGGAAGTTAGACACTAACCAGTAAGATCAATTATGTTGAATAGAATGTTATCCTTGTCTGGGAGGAAAATCTATTACGACTCAACAGTTTAAGTCGTCATTTATAAATATGGCATCAATACCAGATTTCATTACAAGGCAGATGGTGATGGACTCTCCCTTTATCCTGGCTATCCACTGAGCACTGAATAGTAGCAGTAACAACCATAACAATAAGCTTCAACTTGAATTGTGCTGCTCTCCAAGAAACTCAGGGATACCAGGCAAGCTGGCCTTTCAGTCAAATTAAATAAGTGTGAAAATTCCATCAACAACTACTTGGACTTTGACAAATGGTTGTTCCATTTATTTAGCACATGCAAGAGCTTCAGTATTTGGAAAATAAAACTAGAAGGGCAATTCTCACGGAGAACAATTATACCAATAAATTTAAGCACAGCTTCAGATATGAATGTTTCGCATTATTCATTTTTAGATTGCATTTTACTCATTCTGTATGGTTTCACAGTTTCTGAAGGGATCTGTGCCTTTGGCTTAGAAAGACCATCTCTTTCAATGTATTTTTTTTATATATATTTTACATAATCCTGTGGTACACTGGTATGCTAATTAACTATTGGGCACCCATATTGTGCAATGCCATCAGAACATCATTATCAGTTTAGTGGGCTAGGTGCCATGTTTTTCCATGTTGTCTTTACATTTTAGTTTTGAGACAATTTGTGAGATTTTTCATGACTGTTTTCAGATTTAGAAATGCTAAGATGCAAGATTCATCTTACAGAACATAGAAAAGGCCATTTTAGAAACACATTCGTCCTCAGAGAAGAAGCAAACAAAATTATTGTTCCAGTCTTGTGAAAGAAAATACTTTTTTGACCATATGAAGTGTGTCATCTGGGTGGCGATTCAAGTTTACTTTATAGAAGCAAATTAGCATTTTGAAAAGAGCATTTTTTAATCTTGTCCTTAAAAATCACTCAATTTGGAATGTGTGCTTTGAATAATTCCAATTTTTGTAGTTTTTAATTGAAACGTTCTGCCAAGATTTTAAACCTCAAGTGCTAAGTCGATTACATTTAACATAAAACAAGAAAACCATATGGAAACCTGAAGATCATAGCCAAACCAATTAAAATTGCTAAATTTTATTTATGTCTAAATACTGATTTGAAGATAGCAACTGGTGAGTCACATTTGTTCTTTAATGATAGGTGATGAAAACCTTTCATTACCATAAATACTATATAAAATATACCTATATTTTAAAAATCAGCTCAAATTATTAGTCTTGAATTTTGGAGGATTTTTAGCTTTTTTATTGAATTACTGCGAGATAGACCATTACAAAGCTGTTCATGATTAGATTTCAGTCATATATAGTATTCCAACACCCATCCCTCCACTGGTGTACATTTCCCAATACCAGTGTCCCCAAGTTCCCTCCCCAACCCCCCATCCCCTACCTGACTCTATGGCAGGCACTTATCTTGGAGTATTGGAGGATTCTTCTTGGTCCCTTGGACTCCACAGGGGTCATGTCCTTCCTTGTCCATCTCTGGGGATCATCTGCAGTACTGTAGGAAGAATCTAGATTCTAGCTTTTGTGCTTTCAGATTTTAAATGCTTTAACCTAGCAAGACAGGACTTTAGACCTTATGCTAATTAGGATTTCTATTTTGTAACCTGAGTGATGATTATAAAACAGTTCAAAAGATTTTTCTTCACACAGTGGGTGTAAAGACTAAATGAGATTTTATGATGTCTGTATCCTGATAGTGGCTTACTAAGTCATTACCATCTGAATTTATTGCTCCTGATAATTCCTTAGTAACTTTCATAAACCAGGAAAATACTATCCCAGGTAAATGAGAACCTTTTAAAGCACAGAGACAGAGCTTTCATAAAAGTGGATCCTTGGATTGAGTATTTTTCATTTTAGGTTGACCACTGTTGATGGATTAATGATACCATATTAAACCCATAATGTTTGAAACCAAAAACTATTTGTACCATGAGTGATGTGAAATTCTTTAAAATTTCTCTTTTTAAAGGAGCATGCACGAGACAATTGGAACGGAAAATAGAAAATGGAAAGATTACTCTTTCTGAGTCACTTTCCTATTCCCACACTCATGCTTTCTCTTGAATTCCCAAGGTTCATTTGATTTTAGACTAAAGACTCTTGGTCAGTTTCCTCTCCCTGGTGTTCTTGTACTTGAGCTTCTGAGTGAGGTGACACATTCATTACCATGGGGTGTCTTTATTTTCTCTACCAGGCAACATGCACTGACTTTTCTTTTTGTCATTATGCAAGTTTGGGAGACTCTTTTTTTCTTTTCTCGATTACCTTAATGTTCTCTCTTTTGTAAATTAGGTTAAGGCAGAGTGATATAAATCTTGAAAGAATAATCTTTTATCTTTGTTTTCTAGTACATGATTCACAAGCAGCTGCAAGAGTCTGTGTTTTTGGTGTTAGTCACCTATGTAGTCAGAACAATTTATAAAACAAATTGAGGGAACAGCAAGCTGCTTTTATGTAATATCGGCTATTTTCAGGGTTGTTTTGTATAGACTCTGGTCTCATAGAAACCATTGAGAGTAGTGGCACTGATTTATAGATGCTGCAAGATGCTTTTGCTTTTTCACTTAATTATGGCATTCTAAAAACTGTTTACATAGCTCGGGACTTTGAGAGAATTGTCATTATCTCATTTCTACTTTCCTCATGTCCAAAAAAAAAAA